TTAACACCCTCTCCTCTAGACATGTCGCCCCGTCTATCCCCTTGAGATTCAAGTCGTCGCACCTTCATTACAGCTGCCCGAGTCTCAACATCTACTCCGAACCACCCAGCATACTCTGGACGATCTGAACGAGTTCGCCGCTCATCATCTCCGGCTCAAGTTGACCAACGATACCAACGGTTCGCCTCCACGCACAGGCAACGATGGGGTCGACACCCTGGATAGTACCCCAGAACATGCGGCAGATATCGCATTGACAGTCCACGTCCGTCCCGAGGAAGGCCTCGTCGCTCCGAGATCAGAGCTCCAGCCGCACACCACCCAGCTGGACGTTTTCTACCCGCCAAGCCAAATCCCAAGTCCCTCGACCTCCAACCCACCTCTCTCAATCTTTATCGCGCAGGAGTTACAGCGCCTCTATGGCGAAGAGAAGGCAACCATCGCGCATATCCTGTCCGGAGAAACAGCCGGCCTGGATTCAGCGTCTCCCGAGCTCACAGAGAGCATCAGCAGACGCCTGCGACGATCCATGAAATACGCAGAAACATACCACCTCTCCTTCTCCCTCTTTACGCCCGGATCTGCGCCATCCTCGTGGGATATCGAGGCCGCTATCCAGGAATACCTCGCCCCGCTCCTTGACGCCTTCGCACCCATCAGCAACTTCACAATCGATACCCAGGTGCAACTCTACGCCACCTTCTCCCCGATGACCCCGGCCCCAATCTACGACGAGGCCGAAGCAGCATGGACTCTGAAGAAAGAGGATCTGAGCGCGTTCATCAATGCCGCAGAGTGGCCATTGAACCCGAGCATCGGCAGCGGACCAACCCTCAACTTCATTCTCTACGTCCCCGACCCATCGCAGTCGCCCATGATTGTCAAAGAGAATCGTGCCTCGAGCTGGATTGTCCCACAATGGGGTGGCGTGTTCCTTCTCAACCCGTCACTCGCAAAAGGCCAAACTAGTAATCCTGCGTACCTGGAACAAGATTCGCTGCAGTCGGCTTTCAAGACCTTCTCCCATCAACTTCTCACCCTCCTCGGAACCCCGAGCACCCCCCTCCTCCCTTCCCCTCCGTCTGCAGACCCTCATCCGCGTCCGCGCTGCGTCTCTCCTCCTTTCAGCCTCGTCGACTATGGGCTCGCTCGCCCGGTTGACAGAATCTCTCCCCTCCATCCCCATCCCAGCAAACGTGGCATCCTCCGTTTCCATAACCCTATCCCATCTATCCGCTACATGCTCTCATCTTCGCGAGGGTCGCTTCAATGCCGCTCTCGCTAGTGCCCGGGTCGCAGAGAACGAGGCCGAACGCAGTTTCTTTGAGAAGACTATGGTTGGTCAGGTTTATTTCCCGGATGAACATAAGGTCGCTGTTTACCTGCCTTTGTTGGGACCTATTGGGGTTCCATTGGTGGTCGGTTTGATTAAGGAGGTTAAGCGACTTGTTGCGGCGTGGAAGGCGAGGCGTGTGTAGGCGTTTCGTTAGTTCAAGTTAGAATATAATGCATCTTACATTTTCACACCTCAGGCTGGGTATACTGTATTCCAGCTAGCCGAGTCTGCTTAACTCGTATAAGTGTAGCCGAATTGGACGTGGAAATTTGAGCGTGGAGCCCAAGTTGGAATGTATCAATGCCCTTTCAAGGGTTCTATGGTTGAATGGTGTCCAGGATGGACTTGGACTACTACTACTGGCAGTATCAGCAAAGCAGAACAACCTATTAGACAAGATCCAAGGATGTGTATGGTGAAGTACTAGTAGACCTGGCTTGAACTTAAATATAACTCGAATTTAAGAAATAATTCGATTTAAAGAATATAAAAATGGATATCATACTAATAGTAGTACACCGGCAATGCAAAGCTAAACAACACACTCCGTCTTCACGGTAGACTGAGACCTACTTCTCCTCCGTAACTTTATACGACGGGTTCCCCTTCCCATCACTAAACCCGACATTCTTCATCAGATCCGAAAAAGTCGTATCCGGCCTCGCAACCGTACCAGGATACGGCTCCGGACCCAGAAACTTCCTTGACTGCGCAAAGGCTCCCGGCGGCGAGCAGATCTTGATGCTCTCCGTACTGGGCTGGCGCTGTCGGGGCGGCGTGACTGGTGCCGGAACGGGATTAGGCAAGCTAGGCAGAGGCGGGACGTCCTTTTCTTTGTCTGATCTTGAAGTGGTAGTGGGATTGAATAGGCTGCGGACTCGACTTCCTGTGCGGGTTAGGCGTGATCTGGTGGATCGTCCGCCTACTGAGTTCCGTGCTGAAGGGCGGAGGAGGAAGTCTGTTCTGTAGGAGGCATCTTCTGAGGCCATTGGGCTGGATATTCCCATTACTGCGCCGCTGGATGTGCGTTGGGACCAGTGAGGGATGAACTTTTGGTCTTGGGGACGACTCTTTTTGTGCGCGCGTCGTCGGAGACAGGTCGTTATTAGTAGGGCTAGGACGGCCCCGAAGATGGCGCCGGGGAAGAAGCCGGCTATTATTGCCTTTGGTGGGAAGGAGTCGCAGCTTGTTGAGGCTGAAGGGGATGGAACGATGGTGAATGTTGCACCTGTTGAGCCGGTTGAGGTGGATGGAGAGGCGGTTGTGGTTGATTTGTCGGCGACGCAGACTTTGTCTGAGACGCAGGAGTAGCCAACTGGGCAGCAGGAACCGCCGCAGGACTTGAGTTTGCTGTCTAGTTTGGTCGTCTTGACGGTGCTCTTGGGGTAGGTGGTCGCGTTTTGCTGTTGGATGTCGCAGTCGATGGGCGAGATGTAGTCACAACTTTGGCCGGATGGGCAGCAGATGGCTGTGGTGTTATCGCTTGTGCCGATGCAGATGGATGATGTTGGGCACCAGAAGTTGTTAGGGAATGAGGTGCCACATTGGTTGTATGAGTTGGAACAAGTATCGGTGCTGCGTCCGAAAAGTTCGGGTGTATCAAGTGCGTGACCGTGAGTGGTTTGCAGGATGATCAGAAATATCAGAAGTAGAAGAAATAGTCGTTTAGGAACGATGCCCTCCGTCGACCCCGCCATGCCCGTAAATTGAAAAAGAGTATCTCTGAGTGATTTGGAAAATATCAGATGTTGATGGAGGAGTAGCAGTAGCAGTAGCAAAAGTGCTCTTTGGGGTGGAGATAGAAGAGAAGTATGGTGAACAACGAAAGAGAAGATAGTTGACGAAGCAGAAAATGAGCAGAATCATAGACAAGGGGATTGATGGTAGGCTCAGGCTGAAACGTGAACTAAATTGGGAGTTCAACACAAAGGCAGTGAATGGCATGGCGTTGAATCATTCACCGATACAAAGGGAACTGATCTATTCCGGGCACCAGCACGCGCTGGACTGGAACAAACAGTTTCAGGGTGGGCGGCAGGACTCGAATGCAGCATGTCGGGCGCCAAAGTCTGAATTAGTGTTGCAGAATGACATGATGGTGGGTAGTGCAGAGTGAATACAGGAATGTGAGAGGTTGAAATGGGCCGAGATGGGCGCTTAGAGAGTGGAGGAGTGGTGGAGTGTATACTTAGTGTTGTTGTATACTTCTGTGGTAGTTAGTGCCAAGACATTAGTCAGCAGCGCGTCCATTTTGGAAATTTCGAGGTCGACGACGATTGTAAAGCACCTCCACTCCCCACCCCCGAAATCATGTTTAGTCGTCTCGCCCGGCCAAGCGCTCTGCGCGCGGCTTCCTTCCAGGTATGCTCCATTCGATTCCATCTGTCAATTCTTGAGCCCCGGCTAATCCTGGAACCTTGAACCTCTAGACACCTTCCTCTCTCCTCCGATCCCAGACCCGTGCCCTGCACCGCATCCCCCAATTGCAGCATGAGAACGTCTACAAGGAGAATGGTGTACCTGAATTCATGTCGCCTGAGGCATACGATTTCGCCTGGACCCAATACCAGACCCTCCTCGTCGATAAGCTCAACCTGTTGACACAAGGTGAGCCGAGCCCGCACCCGAACCGATCCCGCGGATATCTTCATGACATCTCCGTGTCCGCGCAATACATACAGAATAGATCATTGACTCTCTCCTTCTTCCACAGACACCGTTGATGCCGACGCTAAGCCTGGAGAGTTGCTGGTCAAGTACTCCAAGCGCCCGGAGATGGCCTCGGTCTTCAACTACGCCTCCATGGCCCATAACAACCACTTCTTCTTCAACTGCCTCGTCAGTCCCTCCTCCACCCAATCGACACTCACCACGAATGTACAAAAAGCTAACTCCCATCCAACTTCCAGTCCCCCGCCTCCACCCAGATCCCCGAAAAGTTCGCCAAGGACATCGTCGACACCTGCTCCTCCGTCGAATCCCTCAAGCTCGACTTCCTCGCAACCGCCAGCTCCATGTTCGGCCCGGGCTTCGTCTGGCTCGCCAAGAACCTCGAGCGCGAGGGCCTCATGCAGATCTTCTGCACCTACAACGCCGGCTCCCCCTACCCAGCCGCCTACTCCCGCCGTCAACCTGTCGACATGGCCACCCACTCCCCCGATGCGCCTCTTGGAAACCAGTTCGCCGGATCTATGGGCGCCCACGCGCAGAACCAGAAGAACCTGGCCCCCGGTGCCATTGACGTACAGCCCATTCTGTGTGTCAACACCTGGGAGCACGCGTGGATGATGGACTACGGTATCGCGGGTAAGGATGAGTACCTGGAGCGCTGGTGGGATCGGATTAACTGGGACGTTGTGTTTGATAACTACAATGCTGTTTCTTCGGTGAAGGGGCCGCGTGCCTCGACTACTCGGAGCCGGGGTTTGAGTATGCTTTAAGAGGAGCGCAAAAGCGAAAGCGAAAGCCGGTTTTTGTTTAGATAAATCTGTACTATACATATCATATTTTCTCTGTTTGATCATCAAGGACTTTGAATTGTACAGCGTTAGCCGAGCTCCATGTAATTGGTAGTTCTAGGTGTCTAGTCTAGTAAGTATGCACACGACCTCCATCTCTAAAGTAGTAATATACAAATGCCCTCTTCATGCATACAATAAGTCAATCACCTCCCATGCATCTCATGAATCCTCTTCTCAAACGCCTCAATCATAACCCCAGCCATCTGTCCCTCCACAGCCCCCATAACAGTAGCATGCATCTGGCTCCGAAATTCAAACCGCACTTCCAGATTCACCTTCGTCTGCGGTTGACCACCCTTCGCATCTAGGGGAACCAATTCCCACCGCGTAGAAAGATATTCAAAGATCCCCTCACTAGCACCGGGGAAGAATCCACTCAACCCACTCCCACCACTGCTACTCCCCTTCTCAGCACCGCCGTATTTCGCGCCGCTCCGCGCTTCAACGATTAAGTTTTTCGGATCGCAGTCGACGCGCGACGTGAATGTCTCGCTGAGAGGTCCGTAGCCGACGGTCAAGAATGCCTGTGTGGGATGACCTGTTTCTGGATCCCGGGCTGTGACGGTGGAGGCTGTGAGGAAGGGGAGGAATTGGGAGTAGGATTCCACGGAGGAAATTACTTTGAAGAGGTTTGGTGGGGCGTAGGGGAGGGTTCGGGTTGCGGTTAATACGCGTTTTGGTGAGTCGTTATTTCCGTTTGGTAAGAGGGAGGAGAGTGCGGGGAGGCCGAAGCTGCGTCGGGGTGCTTGTGTGCATTGTGATGAGTGTGTTGGTGATGGGCGGAGTGGGCGTGCGCCTTGTATTGTGCTGATGGTGCGCACTGCTTGGGTTTGGGGGAGGTTCAAGACTCTCGGTTTGAGGAGGTGGATCTTATGATCCAAGCTGCGGGTGGGTCGCATGGAGGAGAGGTGGGTGAGGTGAATTGAGGTGGTGTGGTGAAGTGAAGGAAAAGTGGTTGTGGTTCCGATGGAGCGGAGGTCTGCGGCGCGGCCCGTTCTGGTTTGGTCTGCCTCGGTCTGCGCCCATTGGAACTTGAAGAAGAGAACTACAGCTGCTGCTGTTTGGATACAATAGATCAGAAGTGTTTGATACTTTGTCATACTCGAATTATATTTCTATAGGAATATTCGGACCAACCCCAGTCCTCAACTAGACAAAACTAACTCTCGGGCGGATATGCAAGGAATTCATCTATAGTCGGAGGCACTGTGATATCCGGAGCCCAGAGCATATCCTGATCAGATGGCCCAAAGCCAGATATCCGACTGTCATACAAGCGCTAAATTGAGAATGTTAGCTATGCTACAAGCGGAGGAAAATGCTTGAAAGTAAGTGCAGGTAGTACTCACCCAGTCCATTTGCCCAGGCGTGTTAAGCATATCTTCAATCAGGCCAAGTGATGAGAGTGATGGCGCTTCACTGGAGTCATAGCCTCCAGTCTGCGGGTTCCCATTCAATTCACCGTTGCTGGTGGGATACGTCTCGTACAGCTGCCGATCAATTGAAGCAGGCACTGGTTGGAATGCCAATTTATCTAAGCGCCAGGTTAGTTGGAGTTGATGCGAAACTAGGCCTGGAAAATCAACTCACCATCAATTTCCATACTCTGTTTATTTGTGAACGAGCTGTCGCTCTGAGCAGGGCTGCTACCTCGAACTCGACCAAGCATGATTCTCAACGCGGTGTACCCTCGCTGTGTGTCAATAGACCGGTGCCGTCCTTCCTTGAAGATATGATATGTAGTCTCCAAGAGACGCAGAAGGTCATCACGTTCCTGCGGTTCCATGCGGGCGGTGTCGCGCTCATTCTCTTGTGAAAGCTCCAGGCAAAGAATCATAGCCGAAAGCATGAAGTCTGTATTTTGGAGGGAATTCATGAAGAATCGCTCCGCATAGAGTTGGCCACCTGGTAATGATTCCTGGTATACATCGGAATGGTGTCGCAATGTCTCGCGGGCCGCGTTCAAACAAGTTTGGCGCGAGTACGTGTACTTGCTATTAGTCTCAGCCATATACCGGCGGTGCATCACTACTCGAGCCTTCTGATAGAGTAACGCTAGGGTATATCTTTTCATGATAAGCTCCGTCGTCTCTGCAAAACATTGGTCAATCGGCTGGTATTGAAGGAACGGTGGCAGTAAATCATGCGCCTCCTCCAGCCGACGGTCGATAGCCAAAATCTCCTCGTAAGATACTTGCTCTCGTGAGTATGCCAAATCGGTGATTTGTCCAAAGCACTGCATGATGCGAGATTTGCCTCTTGTATACCCACACGGCGTCCATTCAGTACTGGGTCTCGAAGGTGGCAACTGAACGCTGTTTTCATCAAAGTCCATGTCGTGGATATTGGAAGGTAGTTCTGTATCATATTGCCAAGGCTGAATGGTTCGTGGAAGTCCGACCTGAAATGAGATGAGAGTATCAAGTTGGCATATCAGAGCCCAAAGTCGTCGTCGCATCTCGCCATCAAAAGGGGATAGGCTGGGATAATGACTAGGATCCCGATGGTATCCCATGCGCATGGCTAGGCGAATTAAGGTCCCGAAAAGATAGGAAACGCCAATCTGCGCGTCCTGACTGCGGTAGAATTCAGAGAGACTGTAAAAGAAAAGAGCCTCGACCTTGTATCGCCCTGGAGCGAGGTAGTTTGCTTGCACAAGGCCCTGAGCAGCTCGTTTTCGAAAGACATTCCAAGCTGTTGATGGATTTACCATGTTCACAGGCAGAGGCTCTTCGCTGCGATGATAATGAGACACCGAGAGGGTTAAAATGGCATAAAGATATGAGATCCACGTGAAGGACATGTCTTGGGGGGATTCCCAGAACCGTGCATATTCCTTTCGGAATGTCGGTATATGAACGGCAACTGCTCTGGTAGTCAGATGTGGATCATGGAGAGAGATGAGAAGGGAATGGAAGACTCACTCAGTGAAGGCTCTGATGTTTTCAAGAAACGAGATACTAGTCGGTCTGTAATCTCACGGGACGGTATATCGAGGAGCAGTTCCTCTTTGGTAATGGGTCTACTCATTCCGAGTAGCAGAGTTGGGGAGGAATCGTCCTCCGCGTCTTCCTCTGCCCCTTCATCATCCGTTTCTTCATTTCCATAGTCATCGATATAGTCCTTGACCCCATTGATCTAAGTCAAGGAAGTTAATCACATGGCAATAATAGATAGAGATGATAAGATGAGGAATCATGACCGACCTCTTTCAGAATGGCGCGCCAATTTGCGCTCTCGAAATAACTGGTACCCTCATCGTTCACGACCAATGTGCCCGTATCGTGAGGCGATCGGGTATCATGGCCACTCATGGATGATGGAGTCTGATAGCTAGGCCCATTCGCATCCACGATTTGCGGTTCCGAATTGAAATCAGGAACTTGATCGGATACCTGATCTGGGCCTTGATCAGGAGTCTGCTTCTGCTTCTGGGCTAGGGACATGACCAAGTTCTCCAAATGCTGAAGACGGTCCTGCACCAACGTCGGACTGGACTGGCCATGCTGAGGTTTGCCCCGCGGTCCGCGACCGACAAACGTACAGCCGACAGTATCTCCGCGCTTCTTACAGTTGTTGCAGGGGTAAATGCGATCGCATTTGAGTCTGCATGAGTTAGAAAACAATTTGAAAACCACAGAGACTCAGCCGACTTACTTGCGATACCTGCACGCGGTGCACGAGAACTGGACCCGCGTTCTCTTCTTCGGAGCCTCCCCACTCAGCGGGTCTGGGGGTTAGTCGCCTCGGACATACGGAGTAGAACAGGCTAGTCGGCCAAGAATAGATGCAGGAACGGAGCCGGATTGGAGATCGGGCCCTCCGCAGAAATGAGGGAGACTGAGGGGTGGTGGGGGAGGGAAAATGGAGAGGAAGAAAGAATTGGGGGCGTTCGGACTCGGATGACTTGGTTAACTCCGAAGTACTACTAGTACTGAGTAAGGCTGGTTGGAGACTCAACAGCCCTGGAATAGAATAATACTAGAAAGTTCTGACTTTAATGCGAATGACTGGAGCATATTTCGGAGGGCAGTATCAGAGACTAAAATTTAGTCTATGCAGGAACCCTCATCGGGGTTAAATGCATGACCTCCGGTAGGCTATTACTAGTAGTAGTAGTATCAATTCAAGAACAATTCCTAAGCTAGTACTAGTACTCATTATGTCTAGCCTTAACTAAGCTTTCAAACTACTAGTGTAGGATTGTTTTACTAGTAGCTTTAATTTGTCTGGGCCTGCATATTAAGTACTAACTACTGGCATGCTTAATTGGAGATATATAATACATTGGAGACACAAGACTTGGCTTCAAATTCTATTCATCTTTTGTTCTAAAGCTCAACTGGAATCTTTTGAGACGTTTCTAAAAGACCTCAATAATGCTACTCTTTTTTATTTCAATTCTCGCATTCGCTGCGGCAGCGTTATCTGCACCAGCCATTAGGGAAGAAAGGAGACCTGCGGTGGTACGATGCTCTGCTTGCACGAAGAAGCCAACAGCTAACACAGGACAGATAGCTAGTGGAGGAGCCCGTCTACCAGATGGAAGTATGGGGTTCTGCCATAGTAAATTCTGTTTGACAAGTCATGGATCCTACCGAGTTTCAAGACACAGGGCTAACTTGAATCCGCACTAGAAAACACCCAAGCAGGAGACAGGAATCTGTCAATGATGATGGGTAGCACGGGGTTTCAAACTTCTGTGGCGCCACTGTAGATACTACTACTATCTTGATAGTCTACGCCAAGAAGGAACTTACAACCTACAATCTACAATCTACATAAGCAAAGATTACCTTACTGACAGGGAACCCATGGTGTCCAAATCAACCATGTTCGTCCCCACCCAAACGAACAAGAAGACAATACAACAAGCCGCGCAGAACAGGACAAAACAACAAAATACAACAGAACAAACCGGAAACAGAGAACATATAATAAACGACAATCCCCGCCACCATTCCGGCCAAACCCCGGGCAGGTGGGAGAAATACATGGCAGCAGGGGGGACGGCCTGTGTGAGAAGATGATGAGCGGAACCACCGTCCGGACAGACCCCGGGGCAGGTGGGAGAAAAAGAAGATGTTCATAAAAAAAAAAAAAAAAACAACAACAACAACAACAACAACAACAACAACAACGACAACCCCCCCCCTCCCTACTTCCGGAGCCCCCGCAGCATCTCAGCGACACGCGCCTTGTGGTCCTCCATGGTTTTGACCGCGTGGTCCAAAGCGGCGGCAGCGTCGGCAGGTCCGGCGTTGGCGCGGGCCTCGCGGGCGGCACGGACGGCACAGACAGCGGCAGTGCCAGAGATGTTCAGGTCCTCGAGCGCCTGGAGGGTGGCGGTGGGGACGGAGGACTCTAGAGACACATCTTGATGTTAGTATAGGTCACGGTCTATTTCCCATAACCTATACTGCCATCGAATATATCTCAAGTTGCCCAGGTGCTTACCCTCGCCGACCCAAACCCACACCCAAAAACGCCGGCAGGCAGAGGGAAGCCACCCCTTGCGGGGATTGGCGGCAGCGTCGGCGGCGTCTGCTTGGCGAAGGGCGCGGGCACCCTCGGGGTTGTTGATGGCGGCAAGCCGGCGCTTGTCGGCGCTGTTGAGGCTGTTTTGACATCAAGTTAGCTTTATCAAAATGGTTCGGGGACGGAGACTTGGAGACTTGGAGACTTGGAGCCAGAGAGAATCATACGGGAATAGGATTTTAAATAGTAATAGATATAATATTGATATATGGCATGTCTAACTATAGTGACTGGGAATGTTGAGTGTTAGTATACTTACGAGATCCACCAAGCGAGAAAGACGAAGACGAGGAGGATGAGGGCGATAGCCACCACCATCACCTCCGTCTTCCACTGGTAGTTGTGGAAGACATCGGCGGTGGTGGTGACGGTCGTTGTGGTGGAGTTCGTCTCCGGGTCGTGGGTGAGGGTGGTGGTGGCGGAGGTGGAGGAGTGGGAGTCGCCAGAGGCTCCCTCGCCGGAGCCAGGGTTGGTGGTGGAGGTGGTGGTGAGGCCGGAGAGACCGACCAGGCCAGAGAGGCCGGAGAGAGGGTTCGCGGGCGCAGCCATCGTTGTGTGTAAGCGTGAAGAACTACAATCTGGGTGGCGGTAGCGCGATTTGTATACTGATGGCTACGGCAGGACGCGTCCTGAGATCAATTCTCAGGTATAAACTGATTGGCAGACCTAGAGCTGAGTTAAAATGGTTCACCCAAGATTCGAAGAAAAGTTGATCAAAAATATTTAGTTTGATCTTTCTTTACCCTTTGGCTCAAATCATTTCTGCCTCACATTCAACTCTATTTCACCCTGAACCAATATCTAGCCATTCTCACTTTCACCTTGATCTACGAATTGCGCTCAGGATCAAAGCATGAATTATTCCATTCGCTTAATTGAGTTTCACTTCTGTCCAAAGGTAGTGGTGGTTGCTGGTTATTACATTTTATGTTGTTCCTTCCTCCCCGTGCATGATACCCGATCTCCATCTCCATCTTCATAGCCGAGGCTGAAATTCACCTGGGCATCAAGGACTTTCTTTGCCCATGTAAGTCGTCTGGCAAGACCGCTGCGCATGTAAGGTTACTATCCTTGTCCGCTTTATCACTTGCTTTGCTTAGCAGACTGTGTGGGCAGGCCTTCAATCGACGCCCAGAAGATATTTGGTGCAATTTCGATGGCTTTAGTGTCATTTTCATGTATTTAGCACCTCAGAGGCACGTCACAGTGACCTTCAGCGACACCCAATGAACCTCTAGGGAGCTGGCAATCGGAGTATAATGCCATTATGCATCCCCCCCCCCCCCACATTGTGGATCACCTTAACCTACGGGTAGAGCGCCCTATAGCCGCATTGGCAATCGACCCAGTTGCGGCAAGTTTCTGGCGGCGTCGAAAATTGCTACTACTACCACTAGTTACTACTCGATACACAAGGTACTTGTCGGAGTTATCAATTAATAAAACAAACAATTAGAAGCATTTATTTCAAATCAAAATTCTCTCAAGAAGAATGCCACTCATTCCCAAAAGCCTTACTTGCTATACAAGCGGCACTGAACCATTCTCTTTAACCCGGACTTCACTTTTCTAGCTGCCCTATGCTTTCTTGGACGGAAATACCAATTTGCCATATTGACAATATGGTTATTGCTTTCCATGAGCTTTTCTAAATCAAGTGCAATGAACGTTTGGTCCTTCTCTGTAAGGCTCGGATCTCGAAAGCTGCGGCAGCACCAACACTCCATAGTGCAGTGGCCTCTTGTTTTCGTCCTCTCTGACAAGGATCTCTGGGCACAGCATCCACATTCCCGGCTGCAGCATCCACCTCGACCTGCACAGTCTTGAACCATTTCTTCGCGCATATACCAAAGAGGATCGAGCCTTAAGCGATAATAGAGATTTTTCACAAATAGTGGAAGTTCAGAAACCAGCCTAAACATGGTATACTCATCCTTTACCCGTTGTGCTTGAGTACGCCTTATCTTGGAATCAAACTCCTCCACTTCCATAGTATCATTAGTGAGGTCTGTGGTCTTTTTCAAGGCTTTAGCTTTGTAGCTTAGGCTCTCCTCGCGTTGAGCTAGCAAACGGATATGGTGATCGAGACGAAATATTGCGATAAGTTTGGTTTTCTCAACGGAATCAGGGCCAGAACGCAGATCGGGACCATCCGAACAAAATTTCGTAAATCTGTGGTAACTTCCCATGTTGTGTGTAGTAATTGAAGGAGGCTTGGTCAATATGTGATTTCGTATTGAGAGTGAAAAACTTGACAGATTCGATCGAGGGCAAAGAAACGAGAAAAAGGTCGATAAATGACGCGTTGACTTTTTCCGAGTCCCAAGTTGGCCAGCATGAAGATTCAAGATTCAAGACTCAAGATGGTACTAGTAGCGTGGTTGATTTCCCAGGCCGCGGCCCGAAATCGACGGAGCTTCCCACCTTGGAAGATACTAGACCAGTTTGGATTCACCACCAAACTATAATGACGAACGGTAGCTTAGCTCCGAGAAAATGATAAAATGATTCAGGGAGTTTTGAGGCTACGACCTACTACTACTAGTAGTAGTATGGTGTCAAGTTCAATTTTATATCTCTTTCTACACTGTACTGAGCTGGGATAACTCAACCGCGAGCCATAGATAGGCACTAGACTTAATCTGAGAAGAAAACTAAATTTCGATTCTTTCAATTCAGCCATTTAGTCTTCCAAGTTCGTTCCTTATTCCGCTTTAGTCCAAACAGCCAAATGCCCCTCATTCACATATTCCAGTCTCCTGAAGGAAGAATTCGATGAATCGCATGGAACAATCCATGGAAAGAGCATGATACTGACGAGACGCGTAGATGGCACGCCATGGGTCTCCATAGATTTTCTCTGGGTAGGCGATCATATCAGCGGCGTCTTTGTAACGGAGAGAAACACCCGATGGCAGACGAGAAGCGAGTTGTTGGGCAGCTGATCCTTCACAACGGCCGAAAACGTAGGCAGCCCCTCATGTATCAAGCCTGCCTACCCGGCAGCGGCCGCGGATGCTGGGGATTGTCGCTTATTATGTTTCGTTTCTTGTTTGTTTTTGTTTTCATCCCTGCTTCCTCTTTCCTGTTCTTTTCTTTTCCGGTTTGTCGCCGTGTGTTGTATTGTCTTCCCCTTGTTCGCTTGTCTATTTGGGCGGGGACGAACTTGGTTTAATTGGACACCATGCCCCAATTGTCCAGTACATGTATATAGAGCCCGACTTCTCAAACAAACATCCATTCAAACCTCCTTGAATTCCATCGTCCCGGCAAGATAATCTTCGGAGGCGTAACCCGGTCACGACCTGCGCATCTTTTTCACCTAAGTACCTACCTGGACAGATGCCTGTCAGAAACCGAGTATACTCCTGGTCCAGCACTGGTACTAGTAACACCTCATTCTCATCTTATGCTTGGAATTCCACAGCCACTCACCAGTATACGAAGCACGTTTCTGTCTATCTGAGGCTTTAGCTTTGGAAGTTATAAGTTTTTTCTCGGCGTCGAACGTTAATTTCTAAGTATTTGTAACCCCTGAAAACTAAACTCAAACCTCGAAAGTATTGAACAAACCACTCCACAATATCCCTCAGAAGTCCCACTGCTTCATCCACTTCTCGAATAGGATCGCATCGATTTCCTTCAAATCTCTCAAAGTCTTACTTGCAACCTGTGTTTTGGTTGTCTCAGTCCATGGCCCAGCCTCATCACTGTAGGTAATTGCCTTGAAAAAGTCTAGAATCTTGAGAGCAGGCTTGTCTTTGAGATCGTTCTCCGTGGGGTTTGTGAAGCCCTCGAGGGTCTTGACCCATGTGTGAACATCAACCGGCTCAACATCGAAGTACTTGGTGACTGCTGGGATCAGAGATTCCCAGTCTGCGGTCTTGGGATTGACAATATGGAAGGCAGCGCATAATTCCTCCTCTTGGGTAATACGTCTCGTGCGAACAATATCTGCGATGACCTTGGCCGTGATATCCTGAAAATGAAAATGTTAGCTAATATTCCTAGAGAGGCAAAACCGAATGAAAGCATAGTAACGTACCACTGGAACCCATTGTACAGAAACCGATCCAAGCGATTTCGGAATTTGCTTAATCGTCTTCGAAGATGCGACCAAGGATGGCACCCATTCTTGTTTGTTCCACATTCCCTTCTCTGTTGTCGGACCTCCAATCTGACCAACTCGGTGAATACTGGTCGGGACGCCGCATTTGGCCGAGGCTGCTGCGCAGATTCGCTCAGAAACGTGTTTTGACTCACCGTATCCCTGGCGAAGGACCGAGCTCGGGTCACTGAAAATAATTTCAGGAATTGATGGGCCTTGGCTATAGCCTTCAATGGTCGAGATGGATGAGATGAAGTGAATGTGGGCATTTCTTTCGCTGGAAATGCTGAAGTCAACAAGTCGACGAACGCCCTCGATGTGAGGTTGCTCGAATGCCTCAACTCTGTGGTTGAAGTTGACCTTCCACGCGTTGTGGATAATTGTATCGACGCTTTCCAGTAGCTCCTCGTATTTTGTTTCATCGAGTCCAAGTCTTTCATCGCCAAAGCGTGCTTGAAGGAATTCTACTCGGCGTGGGAACTTGTTGAAACCCACTAGGCCCTTCTCACGGAGACTCTGCAGTTGTCTCGGGGCGGCGTCGTCGGACCGGTTGAGACAATATATCTTTGAGACGCTGAGGTCTCGAAGAAGCTCGTGCAAAAGATATGCGCCGAGGGAACCCGTGGAGCCAGTGAGAATGACAGCGTGACTTACGCCAACATCGTCCGAGTATTTTCCCAACGATTCCAGCGATTCTGGCTTCGCGGTCCTCGTCACTTTCCACAACTTCTTCCGCAGACACAGAATCGTTGCCTTGGAGAAGGTCATATACATAACTGGTGAGCTGTACGATGGTTGGGCGAGAGTAGAGCTGCGAGTTTCCAAAGGCTGCATTCAAGTCCGGTCGCGCGGATTGAAGAGAGGCCTGGAGGATTTGACCTAAACGGAGTGTCTGTAGGGAGTCGACCCCCAAAGCAAATATGTCGGCATTTTCCTCAGTTGACTGCCCTTCTAAGATGTCTGACAAAACCTGGGTTATGAATTCTGCGATATCCGTGCGAGAAGCGTCCTTTGCGAGTTGATCGACAGTGATTTGATCTCCCGCCTCATAAAGGGCGTCAATCTCTGCCTCATAGTCGCTAACAGTAGCACGTCGCTTGATAGTATTTTTTGGGGTGAGCTGGAATGGCTTTGATTGAGATGAAATGGTGATTCGCTCTTTCATAAGCTGAGCATAACCGGGGGCTACTTCATTCGCCTTCTGGGCCAACGGCCAGATCTCGTCAACCAAAGTATTTGGTTCTCCATTCCAAAGGGACCAGTTTGGCTCTATAATTGCAGCCGCTTGGAAACGTCCCTGTCCAACCACCAAAGTAAGGTGCACGAGTGGGTGGCTTGAAATAGTCTCCTCCGTTAGGGTGGGATTGAACTTTTCTCCGTTACTGAGAACGATGAGATCATCCTGGCGACCGGCATAGAGCCACAGTCCATTTCTTACTGGATGAGGGGAGAATAAATCGCCAGTGCGGTACTCGGTCTTGTCCGGGTATGTATGGAAAACTGCCTTGCTTTTGCGATCTTCTCCTCGCTGCACGACGAGCTCATATAGTCCGTCGCCAACGTCCTGCATTTCTGAGCCAGCATTGGGGTTGAACTCCAGATAGCCCCAGTCTGTTTTGTCTTCTGGGATCAAAGCTGGAAATATACAGCATTCGCTTGTTCCCAGAACCGACTGGAGCAGCACAACTTCTGCAATGCGACTTCCCACCTCTGATGCCAATGGCGAGCCTCCATAAGTAACGTAATCGAATTTGGATAGGCAGTTTAATCCGAGATCTGACTTGCTCATATCATCCAAAATAGATGAGCCCATAATAGTCAATTTGGGTTCAGTTTCCCTGAGAATTTGATCAAGCATTTCATCTGTCAATGGCCTCTCTGGGCTAAGAACAAATGGGGTCAGATACGCAATGGGCATCATTATGCCGAGGATACCCATCAGATGAAAGAAAGGACTCATCAAAAAGTGCAACTTCCCCTTGCCTTCGACAGGAGCAAAACTACACCGTCTACCCTCTGGAACTGGTACCAAACCGATAGTTTCAATCGTCTGGAGATATCCATTTGTCATCGGGACTGGCTTGGGCATTCCTAAATAGGATAATTAATTAATTTTTTGTTTTATTCCAATATCCAATATTCAGTGCAGTGGGGATTTTACCTGTTGTTCCGGAGCTGTGGATGTAGATTGCCACGCGATCCTCTTCATCTTCAAGGGTCTCCTTCACCTCAGGAGAGGCAGTTTTTCCATCGCGGTCGAATAATTCCCACAGTTCTGGAATTTGGACGACTACCAAGGATGAATTCGTCGTCTTTAATTCCTCGGCCTGGCGGGCTTTGTCCGCGCTGTAGACAACTTTGGAAGAACGTGTGGCCTCCAGGACATATCGCGACGCTTGCTCTGAGTTCCTCGTTGAAAGAAGAAGTGCCTAGGGTCTCATCAGTACGCGAGCCCCGTATAGGAGTACATTTTCATTCTTACAGTGTGTCTCAGTCTCATACATGCAAAGATAAAAGCTGTATAGCGGATGTCATTTGCTCCGACATAGGCGATGGTCTCTGGCTCAGTTGAAGATGCGACATTTTCTTGAATCCACAGCGCTGTGCGATTGATAGCACTGACGAGTTTCTCAAAGTCAATATTCACCCATCCTTCAGAGATATCAGACGAGACCGGGTGGATACAATAGAGTGTCCCCGGGTCGTTCACTGCGATGGAATCGACAATTCGTAGTGGTGTTCGTTCAACCTCAAAAATTCCCATTTTAGTGATATAATTGAATTAAAATCAGGATACTATCGCTCTGAACTCAATGATCAGGGGCACTTTATAGTTAATTTCCAGCTCACCTATCCCCGCACCTGTGGTGGTCTCGCCGTGCATCCATTGCATGAGTCGTGGTGGCACGTGTAATGAGGTCGCTTGCATCGGATCTGTAGAGCTATGCGCATCTCGAGTTGTACAGCAGGGAGCTCTAGCTGAATAATGGAGCAATCAGAACTGCGAGTCTTTGATCGATCAATAGTTAGTGGAGCTCGATTATCGCGAGATCGTCGATATGACATATCTATTATCCCTCCTGCAAACGGACCCACACCATCTGCATAGGAAACTCTCTACAGGTGCAGAAAAGGGAGTCTAATGCAGGTTTGCCTGGAACCCATTGCAGTCTTCAGCATGAGCAAAGATTTGGGTTACAAATCGATCATCAAATTAGGTTCATCTACGAAGTACGTTGCCAGGCCAAAGCAGGTTGGGCTTTCCGTGCCCAACTAGCGGTGAAAATTTAGCTGGTCGTCTGCGAGGCAGCTGGATGTCCTATAATTCAGGTATGCGAGAATAGCTTTCTCAGCCGCGCCACACAAATACCTGCTTGATCAAGAGTTCATCCGGATCTGCAGCCCCACGAGCACGTATTAACTTGAGGGCCCCAGCTCCATTGCTTTGGGCATCAATGACTGTAGATCCAAGTGCGAGACCGATCATCTCTTTCTCTGTACTGGAGCCCATCAGATTGAGTCGAGCTCGATTTTCCATGTGAGGGAAGGAAATAGGTATGATTCCATTTAATCGATGTCGACATAGTACGCGACATTATCAAGTACAGGGGTTACCCAGACAGATATCTAACAAGCACCCATTTCGACCAATATCTCATGATAAAATTTAACCATCTTTCACAACACTGTAGGTTCTTGGGCAAGATTCTCGAGGTCCCAGGTGAATCTTGCTGCCATTAAATATGACACGCTTTCACCCCGCATTCATTTCCTTGTGGCCGAGACAATCCATCTGTAAATTCAACATTGCATGATTTCATGGGGTTTTTTGTTCACTATTATGGTGCTTCAAATTTCTGAATGGTGAAGCTACCTTACAATACCATGCAAATATTTTCTTTTCCTTTGTTATCAGTATTTTCATCAAGTCTTATATCTGTCATTCCATTTTGAGCACTTTCAATTCTTTGCCTTTTCTCTCGATCTCCTTACTTCCTGTCGTAGCTCTTATGGCTTGCAGGTGGCAGGCAGTGGCATGAAAATGCATATATGCATGCGATAGTCGGTGAAAAGTCCCTCCCCATCTTTTCCCCTCTTCACACACATCGCGCCAAAGACTTAGTAAAACTTTCCTCCGATGACATTTCGACGCTGAACTTTTGTTTCTCAATTTTTGTCACATGCATTATAGAACAGATTTCCACAAAGATTGAGCTGAATTATTCTCGAGACCTAGGCTTAGTTTTCGGTCATTTGGTGTCTTTGATCGCAATTGATGATCTCGGTGATACAACCCAGCTCCAATACAAACAACTACATCCTGTCGAATCATAGATTTAAATTTTAAACTCTATCCTCATCATATCTCATTGCTTTCTTTTCTCCCTTCATACTTTTCCTTCCTTCTTCCCACTGTAATTCAAGCTAGCACATTCCTCCGATCGATAGGCACCCTGATTCATCGTACTCATGTCTTTTGGAGGAGCGAATAATATGAAGCTTCCTATTTTTTTTATCTACAATCTGAACGAGCCCTAGAATTTATTTAACTATAGTCTAAACGCTATGTCCTCGGATCAAATCTGGCAGTTCATTATACCACGTATTTTGGACAAAGGTCTATAAAAGCCCCATTATTAACCCCTTGTTGACCGCCCTACTCTCTGCCTTCCCAGGGGAACAAGTAGCTACCTAAGATGGAATAGATTGGCCAATTTTTCTGTCTTAGTTAGCTACTAGTCTTTCACTAGAAGGTAGTCAATAACTAATGGTGGGCAATAGGAGGTTTCAAACTTTTATAACGCCACTTTATTGGTCGAAGGATTACCGAGCATGTTAAAGATATGAAGGATGTCTGGAAGAGACATCTCGCTGTTGAATCCTAGTAGATAAGGAGTGTGGTGATGTAAGTATGACCTCATCCCCCATCTTTCATCCTCAGGCTCCAATCCATCCTCTCATCCATCCCGATCCATCCTCCCCTATAGTATTAGCATCACCCGCCATGCTTCATCATGAATTCTCTATCTCCGAAGTAATAATGATGGGAGGATTTATTCTACAAAGATCGGGCTTCAGAAGCGAATTTTGCTTTTTATTATTGAATTTATCAAGCGCTGGTCGCTCTATGTCGCAAAATACATACATGTAGTGTTTAACTCTTGGTACAAATTCTAAAAATAAATTAAGCTCATGTGGAGACATTGCGGGTTGTGGAGTAAATCAACATCCGACGACAGGGGAAAAATGGAATCAAAGCCAGGAAAACCAAAACAAACCCCTTCAAAGTAAACACCACGATAGCCTCAAGAAAAAAAAAGAAGCAAAAAAGGGGGCTCATTAATAGCTAGGCCTTGATCATGAGGTTCCGACGCGTGGGAGTTCTCTGGGGAGGGTTCCTCTCTTACAGGCCCGAAGGCGCCCTTTAACAAACGTAGCCTAGTTTGAATCGTTGGTGGGGGAAATCGCGCGCCTCTGCAACCCGGTACTCGGCGTTTGCCGGACTCGAACCTGTTACCTCAAGGTCCCCATCGCGTTTGCACGGTCAGGGTGCTGCCTTGAACCAGTGAGCCACGCTGGCAGGTTAACAATCCCCTTCCAATTTGCAAACAAATCCGAGCTTTTGGTAACTTTTTGGGGTCTTTCTGGATGTTTTCTTTGATTAGTTTTATTTTTTATTGTTTTATTTGTCTTTAGAGACTCTTTTCTTCGTGTCTGACTCTTTCAAATATCATTTTCTGGTCGATTGCCGTTTTCGGGACCCGATGGGCTTCGGATGAGATGAGAGAAAGATGAGGTCATCTACCATACGAGCAGAGCATAGTAAACATGATTATAGCTTGGAATTGACAGTAGTACGGTGTATTCACATCTAACTTGTAGTATCAACATAAACTTCGATATAACAAACAAACTTATCTCAATCGGATCACTCAAGGACAGTGGGGGTATCATGCATGGGCAGGTAGGGCAAGGCAGAAGGCGGAGACGGATAAGACGACAGATTCAGAAGGTTGGTATTTACAGCCGGACTTGACCACCGGTCACTCGAGCCCAATCCTTCGGCTCAAAAGGAACATAAGTGCTTCCCTGCAGCCAGTAGAGACGGTCATTCTTAGAGACCAACGAGGGATCAACACCCTCACTGCGTAGTACATGCTTTTGCTGCTTGTTGTTGCCAGTAGACTGCATCTCAGTTGTGACGCGAAGGAAAAAGAGGCGCCGCAAACCGCGGCAAATTCTGAAGGGTGTGAGCCGCCAAGCTGTCCAAGGTGGCTCGAGATGGCTCCAATGCAGGACCAGAGGTACCGCTGGCCACCTGCTGGTTGAAGACAATGGCGGCACACCCAGCACGACCGTCGTGGTTAGGCAGAACCACTCCGTATACGTTAGCTTCATGAACCTCTGCGTGTGAGCCGAGAACCTCCCCAACCTCGTTTGTAGACACATTCTCGCTCTTCCAGCGGTAGGTGTCGCCGAGTCGGTCGGAGAAGAACCAACGACCATCTCTATCCCAGCGCACCATGTCGCCAGTGCGGAAATAAGCGTCGCCCTTTTTCAGCACATCGCGCACAATCTTGCTCTCTGTCGCCTGGTTGTTCTGGAAATATCCTTGGAAGTTGGCTTTGGGATCGTTCGCATCGATGACGAAGAGTAGCTCGCCGGGATCACCTCGAGGCACCTTCTTGCATAGACCTGTCTTCGGATCACGCCACGGCTCCTGGGTCTCGTGGTCGACGTCCACAATAGCTGATCCACGGCCAAGAATGAAGTTACCCAGTACACCGTTACGCCCGATCGCACCGGCTGAAAAGTCGTTGGAAGATTGGTTCCAAGAACCGGATGTGCCCTCCGTAGCTGCGTAGAACTCGCAAATGGTGGGGATGTTGAAGCGTTCCTTGAAGCGATTCCAAATGTCAGGCGGAGACCGTTGCCGAAGGCAACTCGAATGTTATGCTTCTTGTCCAAGTCTTCTCCAGTGGTCGCGTCGATCTCGGGAGGTACAGCCATGATGTAACGAAGGGTCTCGCCCACGTACTGGATGATTGTTGCGTCGTTCTCGCGAGCTTCCTTCATGAAGGTACGCGCGGAGAACTTGCGGCCAATCACAAGGGTCGCCCCGTTAAACAAGCAAGTGACGAAGCCCATAATATAAGCGGAGGAATGATACAAGGGCATACACTGTTTGGGTCAGCCAGAGTCCTTATGTTGGAGAGATAATCAAATCTTACCGTGAAGAAGCGATCCGAGGGGCCGACTTTCATCCAATCGCCTACGAATAAGGAGGCAGCCCAGCACTTTTTCCAGCAGACAATAGCCGGCTTGGGAAGGCCTGTGGTACCACTTGTATAGATCAATAAAGCCATGTCGCGGGCAGCCTGCCCGCCACGGACCTTGTCCTCTTCGCGCGCAGGCTCCATTTCTAGAACCTCGGCTTCGATTTCAGGTGTATGGAAGACGACTTCGACCGGGCCTTTCCCATCACGGAAGCTCTCTGAAGCAAATGTTTTCAGCTGTTCTGGCGGGAAGCAGTTGCGGACTTCCTCGTCGACAATCAGGAGCTTGGCACTCGAGGTCCGAACCGAGTGGGTCAAGGGCTTGCCGGACAAGTTGTAATTGATGAAAGCGGGAATCGCGCCGATGCTCCATAGACCCAAGGTCATAAAGATGAAGGTCGAGGAGTTCATAAAGTCGATGGCGACGATATCTTTTTGACGAACGCCGCGGACATTCTTGAACCAGGCTCCGTAGCGCAGGGCCATCAGGTAGGTCTCCCGGAAGGACCAGGTGCGGCCGTTGTACACGATAAAGTCATTATCTGCGGTCGTGGGAGAAAGCGCTTGGGCCTCGAGGTTATAGAAGAGGTTCAAACGGTCACCACGCTCGGCGACGCGCGCCTTAAGGGCCATCTTTAACCCTGAGGTGATGAGGCCAATGTCGTGGGAGAGCGCCCATCGTGCATTCAGGTAGGCTGCGGCTGCGGCTGCGGCGGGTAGGGCGATCTTCAAAGGGAGGTCTAACCAAACAGTCAGAGCGATTAGCAGAGTTATGGATATGGTTGTCTTGGCAATGGGCAGGTGTGCTTACCAGAGACCAAAGGAAGCGGCATAGCTGCGGTGTGAGGGGGCGAAGGGGCAGAGTTGTACAGCAGTTGAATAGATTGTACTTAGAATTGGGACTAAAGGACCATAGCAAGGAGGAAAAAGGGGAGGAGACACCGATGAATAATGAAGAGATTAAGAGATGGATTGATGAGGTGAGGTGGATGGAGGTGGAGTGGTTGAAGTGGAACTTGATGTGGAGCAGGTGAAATGCAAAGATGCCGAGGCTCGGACTTGCCGCGTTGCTCCGTTGGTGGCACAATCGAGTTATGCGTACAGTGGTAGTACTAGGGAATGGACTTCGTTGAATTGCAGATATTACTACTAGTGTTACGAGTACTCTGTCATTGACTTTATGCTAGTAGATGTCTAGCATTATTGTCCATATAGTATTCAATAACTACCTAGGTACCCAGGTGGCAATCATTAGACATATTCGATCATCTATATATATCCACATCGACATTGGGTAGTACACCAACCCTCTCAATTTATACAACCAGGTGGGATCAAGTTAAAATTTCAACTGCATCTCCCTCAAATGTGAAACATGCCCTGTGTCACAAGAGACCTGAGCAGATGCGACCGGAATATATCCTGCTGGTAGTAGGGTTCAACCTCCACATGGTTCTGACGGTGAAACCTTTGCAGCTGCACATGCATGCCAACTGTTAGTATGCTTTATTGATACCTTCTTTCCTCTTTTCTTTGTCTTTTTTTCCCCCCACGTCGTGCTATTGCGCTGACTTCACCTTCTTGATCGATGGGACATTCTCATACTCATCCTCCATGAAGATTCGAAGCGCCTCCAACCCCTTCTCCAGTACCTCCGTCTCACACGCGTATCCAATGCGAACATATCCCTGAAAGTCCTCGCCACCACCGAAGCAGTGACTGCCCGGCACAAACATCACGCCGCTCTTTTCTTGCAGAGTCTCACAGAAGGCAACGTCATTGATAGGCTTCCCCATCTTCGTGAAGCGGACAAAAGCGGTCGTTCCCGCCTTGGGCTTGATCCAGTCGCACGCCCATCGGTGGGAGTCGATGAACTTCTCCAGGATGGCGAGATTAGTCCGGGCAAGGTCGATGTTACGTCTGAGGAGGTTGTGGATGCATTCCGGGGCAAGGGCGAAGCTGGCAACCGCATCGGCGATCTGTCCGACTGAGATTGTAGTATAATCGCGGGAATTGGCACATTTCTCGATCAGGGAGCTGCTCCGTGACGCAATCCATCCCACTCGCAGCCCGGCAAGGCTGTATGCCTTGGAGACTGAGCCGGTCGTGATGCTGTGTTCATAACAAAACGACAGAAGAGATGGGGGGGAATTGCGGATCCATGGGGCTAATGTTGTGGAAGAGAGGGCGGTATACCTCATCGGAGAAGATGGTGATGGAGGATTCGCGGGCGATATTGACTAGACCTTTCAGAGTATCATGAGGAATAATGGCACCGGTTGGGTTCTGGGGGTTGCTGAGGTTGATTTGGTCAGCTCTATTGACTAAGAGTGATCTGTTTATTGTTTGGCCAACACTTACTTGATAATGATCATTTTGGTGTTGGGCTTGATCATCACTTTCAGCTCCTCGAGATCGAGCTGCCACCCATCCGCCTCCTTGGACTTCCATAGACTGACTTCGGCGCCGAGCGACTCAGGCACTGAATAGAGTTGCTGGTATGTCGGGTAATGACAGATTACATGGTCTCCCGGGCCCACCAGGCTGTACAGAACGAGAAAATTGGCCTGTATCGCGCCCGCCGTGATCAAAATATTATCTTTGGGTAAAAGTGCTGTTGTTTTGGCCGAGTATAGATTGGAGAGTGTTTCTCGTAATTGATCCGAGCCCCGGATGGCACCGTAGGTGAGCTTGGTGGATTGGAGCTTGCCCAATGGGTCTGTTTCCTTGTCCTCGGACAGAGCGCGGAGGTCGTCAACCGAGACTGAGGCACAGCAGGTTTCTGCAGTGTTGAACTTGGCTGTGGTTTCATACTTGTCCATCCACTAGAATCTTTCAGCATGCCAAACATACAGTAGCCACTGGAGGGGCAGTGATAGGAATGCGGGGAGATACCTGCTCAACGGCGAAATCCTCTAGCTTGACCATGATGGCGAGTGGGTATGCAACAGGCCAATGGATATGGGTCGTTCAGAAGTATTTCACACAATTGCAGCTCCTGCTGGTCGTGATCCACCGTGACCTTTTGGGTGTTGGGTTTGTAGAAAAGAAAGATTTCTAGAAGCGTTGGGCTTGTCGGCGTTGATGCCGTGTCACGTGGAATCCCCGCATTGAAGCAGCACTACTCGTACTACTAGTTGTAAAGCAAAGTGCAAAGTGCAAAGTAGGCGCAGAAGGGAGGAGGAGAAAAATAATGGAAAAATCATAGAAAATAGGTTAAGTCATAGCGAATAAGAGGATATTAAGTGACCTACTATTAGCCAAACCCAAACACTCACTATGTGCTAAACACCCACTAAAGCAAGGCTGTTCCTGAGCTGCAGCAACCCGCACCGCCTCCGCCCGCGTCATCGGGGCCAACGCCAACGAACCTCCAGCCTTACTCCACTTCATTTCACTCCATCTCCATCTCACCTCCACCTCCTCTCACCTTCCTCAACCCTCTCAATATATCATCATCCTCTACTTTTGGATGTCGAACTATCGCTAGCCTCCTCCGGCGACTCATCTGCGCTCTCTTCCTCCGGTCGCCGCCGTGGTAATTGGGTGCCAGCCACCCCTACACAAGATGCGGTCATCCGCATCCTTCCTCTCGTTGATCGCCTTGGTCACCTTATCCGCCCCGGCGATAGCTTCGAGTAACTATTCAGATACAACTCTTGTCTCCCCATCCTTCTCTATCCTCGATGATCGACCTCCGAACTGCCCTCCCTGCTTCAACTGTCAGCTCGACAAGTATGACTGCACCCATTTCTCCCCATGCAACAGCTTCACCGGCAAATGTACCTGCCCATCAGGTTTTGGTGGAGATGATTGCTCAGCCCCAGAATGCGGCGCCCTATCCGATGGTACAAATCGTCCCATCCGTGAAGGTGATACATGCGAGTGCAAGGATGGCTGGGGTGGCATCAACTGCAACGTCTGCCAAAACGATAACGCCTGCAATGCCATGATGCCAGAAGGAAAGGATGGAGTCTGCTACAAAGAAGGTGTCACCGCCAAGGAGAACTTTCAAATGTGCGATGTGACCAATCGAAAGATTCTTGATCAGCTAGGTGATCGGAAGCCGCAAGTGACCTTCTCGTGTAAAGACGACGATAAGTCCTGTAACTTCCAATTCTGGGTTGATCAGGTCGAGTCTTTCTACTGTGGTCTGGACACTTGCGACTGGGACCTCAAGACCGAAGTCGGTGCTAACACTACTAACTATCGGTGCGAGAATGTCGAGTGCAAGTGTATCCCCGGCCGCTTCTTGTGCGGCGAGAACGGATCTATCGATCTCAAGGACTTCTTAGCACAACTGATTAAAGGCCCGGCCACGTTTTCCACCAAGGCTACCCGGGAGGGGAGCAGCAGCGTCTTCTCGGAGCCCCAAATGAACACTCTGATTAGCGGTGTATTTGGTGATCCCAGCATCTTCTTATCCTGTGACTCTGGAGAATGCCTCTATAAGACGAACATTCCTGGCTACGAGCGTCCGGTCAAGACGATTAACACTCCTCTCATTGCAGGCGTGATAGCTGGCTGCGCACTCTTCGTTGTCGCAGCGATCTTGGTCGTCTGGTATCTTTCTCGCCGTGCCGCCCGCCACAACTACATTCGCCTCTCTCTGTCTGATGATTCAGATGATGAGACCGCAAGGTTGCTTGCCGAACACCGACCGGCTGCTCTTTACTGGGACAATGTGTCGTATCATCTCAATGGCAAGGAGATTCTCTCCGACATCCAAGGTGCATGCACTCCTGGACAGATCACTGCAATCATGGGCGCCTCGGGCGCTGGTAAGACCTCGTTTTTGGACATCCTGGCACGGAAGAATAAGCGAGGTGCCGTTTCAGGCAACTTCTACGTGAACGGCGAGAAGATTGACGATAATGATTTCAAAACCATGACTGGATTCGTTGACCAAGAGGACACAATGCTACCGACCTTGACTGTTCATGAAACAATTCTCACCAGCGCTCTTCTGAGACTGCCGCGGGACATGAGCCGGGCGGCGAAGGAGCAGAAGGTCTTGGAAGTCGAGAAGCAACTTGGTATTTCCCACATCAAGGACCAATTGATCGGTTCGGAAGAGGGTAGGGGCCGTGGTATCTCTGGCGGTGAGAAGCGTCGTGTTGGTATCGCTTGTGAGCTTGTCACCAGCCCTAGCATTCTCTTTTTGGATGAGCCCACCAGCGGGTTGGTATGATACTCCCTCACCTTTTGTTTGAGAGCCTAATAGCTAACAAAATCCACCTCTAGGATGCTTTCAACGCTTTCAATGTGGTCGAGTGCTTGGTCACTCTGGCCAAGACTTACAACCGCACTGTCATCTTTACTATTCACCAGCCTCGCTCGAACATCGTTGCTCTTTTCGACCGATTGATTCTTCTCGCCGAAGGTCGCGCCGTCTACTCGGGCCTTTTCTCATCGTGCCAACAATATTTTGACGAGGTTGGATACTCTTGCCCGGCTGGATTCAACATTGCCGACTATCTTGTGGATCTTACTATGCACGCCAGTGGCGCGCATTCCAATGGTGCCTATGAAGTGTATATCGACGAGAGCGAACAACTAGACGGACAGACAGGTCCGCCCAGAACGGCTTCAAGCAGTCTGAGAGCGGTCAAATCCGTCGCCAGCGTGTCCAATGTCAGTTTCGAAGACAATTCTAGCAGCGCCGCAGAGCAGACGCGGAGACCGAAGAATAAGCGACGCATTTCAGTGAAGCAGCAGCAGGAACGCCAGCTGTTCTCACGACGCAAAGACGACCGCCCGACGACGCCTAAGACCGATGAAGAAGATGCCACTTTAGAAGCCTCTGATGCCCAGCAATGGCTGCGACTTTCCCGCCAAAAGCAAGGCCAGGTTCCTCCGCAGATTCTCGATGACCCCGACCAGCTTCCACCACCGGCCCCTGGCACATCGGATCTTGATATCCTCGTTGCCAGCTATGCTGACTCGGATGTGGGTCGATCGATTCATGATGAGATCGTCGCTGCAGTTGAGAGCGCACAGGCTGCCAACGGTTCTGCCAACTCCCATCTCGCTGGCGAGACAGGATTGCAGCCGAAGGGCTATGCTCGCGTCAGCTTGACGCGGCAATTCCTTATTCTATCTCAACGCACGTGGCGCAATCTGTACCGTAACCCGATGCTGATGCTCACACACTACGCCATCGCGATCCTCTTGGCCGTGCTATCAGGGTTCCTCTTCTACGGCTTGACCGATGATATCAAGGGTTTCCAAAACCGCCTTGGTCTATTCTTTTTCATCCTCGCACTGTTCGGTTTCAGCACCCTGACGAGTTTGACGGTCTTCTCATCTGAGCGCCTCTTATTTGTCCGGGAGCGTGCCAATGGCTACTATCACCCGGTGACCTACTTTGCAGCCAAGGTTGTGTTTGATATTGTTCCTCTGCGACTTATCCCGCCCATTATTATGGGTGTTATCATCTATCCGATGACGGGATTGATTGCTGCCTGGCCAGAGTTCCTGCATTTTATGCTGGTTCTGGTTCTGTTCAACTTGGCGGCTGCTAATATCTGCCTGTTTATTGGCATCATCATCCGCGACGGCGGTGTGGCCAACTTGGTTGGCAGTCTGGTGATGCTTTTCAGCTTGCTGTTCGCCGGTCTGCTTTTGAATCACGATGCTATCCCTAGTTCTGCTTTGTGGCTTCAAAGTGTAAGTTTCGCCCTCGAGTCTGTTTCTGTTCTTTCTGAAATTCCCAACTAACGTGGATTTAGCTCTCGATCTTCCATTATGGGTTCGAGGCCCTTATTGTCAATGAGGTCACTTTCCTCACCCTGATCGACCACAAATATGGTCTCGACATCGAGGTACCTGGTGCATCGATCTTGAGTGCCTTTGGGTTCGACACCTTGGCCTATTGGTACGATGTTGCGGGTCTGGCCGTGTTCTCCGGGGCCTTTATTATCATTGCATATGCAGCGATGCACTTCCTGCTTGTTGAGAAGCGCTAGGTCTGTTGATTAGACTGCGTGTTCCGTGGTACTTTGTTTCTTTCCTGTCCTGCGATATGTATTTTTGTTGTATCTCGTTGAGTATATTCGGGACTTAGCTGTTGAGCGCTGGGGATGCCCAATCAACGAGGGATCAAGTGCTGTATATAGACGATATTTATCTGTTCATCTACTTCTGAGTATCTGTAGAAATGAGGAGTAGTGTACTATATTGTAGTCCAGTGTATAGTTACTACTACTTCTACTGTAAAGTGTGTACACAGCCGGGTCGGCACGTGAAGACGTCATGCTTCGCAGTCCAGGCCAACTCCAACTCCAACTTTACAACTTCACACCTTCCACTTCTACTTCAACCCACTTCTACTCACCCTTCTAACATACTCACACCTCTTCCTCCTATTATACCTCCCCACAATAGGTATGTTTAGGGTGGATCTCCAGTCTCATCGAGTTCCCCTCCCAGCCCCTCCATTTCTATTTCCACTCCCCCCCCAGTGGGAAGACCACGCTAGTGCCCACCGCCCAGTTCACACTTCAGACTTCGCTAACACCTCGCAGCTCTCCACCCCCTTGTACCTCTCTTGATTCTCTTATTCCCCACTCGACTTGGGTTATTCTGCAGATTACGCAGCTTCTGATTTGTGAGTCGAGTCATTCCCTTCCCCCCCTTCCTGTTGGTTACCTTGTCGGGGAGTCTCTGTGATTCCGCCGACTTCCCTGGGGACTTTTGGGCCGCGGACCCCACAAAACCCATCTCATCTCCAATTCCGGTGTGCACCTGCGTCTCTGCGGCATTTCGACCCTCCTCCGTCATCCTCCTCCACCTCCGACATCGCGACTTTTGCTCACCAGTTCTTCAGCTAGCGCATACCTCCTCCTATCTGCCCATCATGTCCGGTGAAGCGTGGCTCTATCTGTTGTCGGTGTTGATCAACGCCGTCAACCTCTTCCTCCAGGTGTTCTTCACTATCATGTACAGCGATCTCGAATGGTGAGTACCTCCTACAACGAATTGATTTCCTCAATGCACCTCTCAGGCGGTCGCCTGGGGATGCTCCTTCGCTGCGGACAGCCAGCTAACCTTGACTCCCCCCGGTACAGTGACTACATCAACCCCATCGACCTCTGCAACCGCCTCAACGCCTACATCATCCCCGAAGCCGCTGTCCACGCTTTCCTGACCTTCCTGTTTGTGATCAACGGCTACTGGCTTGCGATCGTCCTGAACCTGCCTCTCCTCGCCTTCAATGCGAAGAAGTACGTCCCGCCCGCGTTTTGCACGCGTTCCTTCCCTCCCCTGGTCTGCTATCGCATCAGTGAGGCTAACATCTATTTTTTTTGTGTCTTTAGGATCTACGACAACCAGCACCTGCTGGATGCGACCGAGATTTTCCGCAAGCTGAATGTGCACAAGAAGGTGAGTCACTGCCGAGCTGCCAGGCTATCGCATAGAATATCGCTAACCCAGCACTCTCCCTCTCTAGGAATCGTTCATCAAGCTGGGCTTCCACCTCCTGATGTTCTTCTTCTACCTGTACAGCATGATTGTGGCTCTCATCCGCGACGAGGGTAACTGACTTCGTACCAAGACCGAGCATGCGATGCGCAATGGTCGTGCCAACTAGCCCCCAGGACCTCCTATATCGGCCGGGTATGTGGTATTTTTCACAGTCATGTCACAGTTCGCCGAGGGTATAAACTGTTGTTTTGAATGCACTGTGCGTGCCTTGGTTGATACACGTTCACTACGACTCCGCCATGGGACCCCGAGCAGCCATCCCTGTGATATACACCGGTGTTGCTAGTGCTCTGGCGGAGTGGGTAGGCGACCCTGGATGATGTGGGAGAATCCTTTCGGTTATTGAGCCCAGATGGTTCGGTTCGACATGCGCTATGTGGAGTAATAGATGGATGATGATCTCTTTTTTCCCTCTTCTTCTGTCTAATGCGGTGGAGTGGAGGTGTGCAGGGCGATTGCTAGCCGGAGAGGTTTATGTTTTTCTCTTCTGGTCTGGTTATCTTGCTCTTTTGTTCCAGTTCTTTTTGCAATTTCTCTGTTAATCTTATCCTGTCGTTCAGCCTGTGAGTTGTATATATCTCCAAGCAGTTTGGCAATGAAGAGCGTACGATACCCAGTGGCATTACTACTAGTAGGAGGAGCAGCAGCAGCAGCAGCAGCAGCAGCAGTAGTACTGGTAGTGTATTTGACAAAGTAATAAGTAATATGTGGATAATTACCTAGGCCTACCCATACAATTAGTACCTCTATTTCATTCCATATTTCATGCAATAGATGCAGTGTAGTGATATAGTTGATGTGGTTGATGTACTTTGACATCGCCAAGTCTCAAGTGGAGCAGGCAAGCTTCCCTCCGCCTACGTAAAATTCCACCCAACTGCAACTCCAACTCCAACTCCAACTCCGATTCAACTTCCACCACCCTTGCGCAGACCTCAACTCACCGGGGTTTCTGCCATTCACACCTTCACAATGTCGGCTTTATTAGGCGCCGGGTACGATTCAAGCGACGATGACTCCGTACCCAAGACCTCAGCAACACCCGCCACCAAAATTGTGGCCGCGCCAGAAGTGAATACAGAGGTTTGGTCCCCCGGTCTCCTACTTCTCCCTACCTCCTTTCACCCCAGAAAAACACCTCGCATATCCATCATGATGACCAGATAAGACTAACGACCCGACAGGATCAAGCACACATGCAAATGACCCTAGCCAACACCTCGTCGCAAGCCCTCACCTACAATGCCACCTACGATGATATGATACGACCGGCCCAAGGCCCGATCAACCCATTCAAGCCCGCCGGTCCAGGCAACGGAATCAAGCGCAAGAATGTCCCGACCGGATTCGCCGAAGAGGCCGCCATCAGCGAGTCGACTTTCTCCGCGCAACACCGTACTTTCCAGAGCTTGGGCTATACGCGCAACCCGACCCTGCCGGATCAGTTTGTCGGGAATATGGAGAATGTCGCCCAATTTGGCGGTCGCGATGTCGTGCAGATGAAGCCTACGAAAGAGAAGTCTGCCTCGTGGCGCGCGAAGCGCCAACGGAAGGGCGATTCGAGTATCGTCGAAGGTGACGGGGCGTATCTGGGCCCCTGGGCGAAATATCAGAATGATCAGCAGTATGATCAGTATGAGGTTGGCGAGGGGGATGATCATGTTTTGGCTAGTGATGAGGAGTTTGTTGAGGAAGATGAGACTCTGGCTACCGATGCGCCCATGCCGGCCATGAGCAAGGAAGCTACCGATTACCAGGGCGATACTTCGAGGGTGGAAACGTCCGAATTCCACGGCTCCGAGCAGTTCGATTACCAGGGTCGGACTTATATGCATGTCCCCCAGGACTTGGATGTCGACTTGCGCAAAGAGGTCGGCAGTATCAAGAATTATGTCCCGAAGAAACTGGTTCATACTTGGAAGTCGCATACCAAGCCTATCACTTCACTTCGTTTCTTCCCCAACTCCGGTCACTTGTTGCTCTCCTCGGCTGCTGATGGAAAGGCTAAGATCTGGGATGTTTACCACCAGCGTGAACTGCTCCGCACTTTCTCAGGTCATAATAAGGCTATCACTGATACGGATTTCCATCCTACTGGAAAGACTTTCTTGACCGGTTCATTCGATCGCAACATCAAGCTCTGGGATACAGAGTACGGCAAGTGTATTGGTCGATTTTCCACGGGTAAGACACCGCACGTCGTACGCTTCAACCCGAGCGCCGAGCACTCGCACGAATTCCTGGCTGGTATGTCGGATAAAAAGATTGTTCAGTTCGATACGCGGTCCGGAGAGCTGGTCCAGGAATACGATCACCATCTGGCAGCTGTCAATACTATCACTTTTGTCGACGATAACCGTCGCTTCATCACTACCTCCGACGACAAGTCCCTGCGTGCTTGGGAATACGGCATCCCCGTTCCGATCAAGTTCATTGCCGAGCCTTATATGTTCGCTCTCACACGTGCGACGCCGCACCCGAATGGAAAATATGTTGCCTTCCAGTCCGGCGATAATCAGATTGTCGTTTACGGTGCTACCGATAAGTTCCGCCAGAATCGCAAGAAGAGCTTCCGTGGGCACAACACTTCCGGCTACGGTATTGATCTGAAGATCTCGCCTGATGGTCAATTCATTGTTTCGGGTGACAGTGCTGGATTTGCTTGCTTCTGGGACTGGAAGACTGGTAAGATGTACCATAAGATCCAGGCTGGTGGGAAAGAAGGCGGTGCTGTTACTTGTTTGGATTGGCACCCGCAAGAGACGAGTAAGGTTGTTACTGGTGGGTTGGAGGGTGTTATCAAATACTGGGATTAGTTATACCAGCTCTGTTGGCGTTGAAAATAATTCCGGGTTTGAATTTATGTTCTGGGAGGGTTTAAGATTCTCATTACTTTCCTTCTTCTGGTCAAGTTCCCTGTAAATTTCCATCCTCCTCCTCATTAGTCGGACAGTCATAACTTCCGACACATTTTATTAGAAAATGCCCACCCATATGGATATTCTCTCTGCGCTGAATAAAACAGCAAATTTGCAACCATGAGACCATATCCTCTCAACCCAGTGCTGTGCATCTCCACCAGAAACCGCACCACACCATCCAGTCCAGGGATCGAAACTTCTTTCTGACAAGTTCTCCTCAACACCAACACGTATCCACAAAGCAGCGATCTTCCATGTCATCCCTGAATATCTACATCAACATCCACGACGGATCCTCGAGCGCGCAGGCGCTTGCTGGAACGAGGGAATCGAGAACGAACACGAACAACCTTCCGTCCAACCCGGCGCGGGATTTGTCGAGCAATGAGACGAAGGAGACGATTATGGCGTCGCAATTCCGCATTGATGGATTTGAGAGACTTCATTAACTTCTCCCCCTCTCGCTCGGAGGGTTGTTTGCATTCGATTGATTCTTTGATCTCCTCGCTCTCTTCGTCGCAGTCAGCTTCATAGCCACTAGTCCGGCTGGAGAGGAAATCCATTGGAGAGGAGGCTCCTGATTGTCGGTATAGATCGTCCAGATCTGCCTTTCTCGCGAGGGGCGACTCGGGGACGCAGGGGATGCAGCGCAGTCGGTTGAGGGTTCCAGAACGGTCTATGGTCGACAGGTCGGTGTGGACAGTAGTAGGAGTTGAGAGGAGCTGTGTAGCTTGTGTGTGAAAGTTAGAGCTTCCAGTGGGAGGTGTGCTGGGGATTTGGACCACTGGGATATAGTTGTCTATCGGCTTGTGGTTGGTTGTCTTGTCAAGCTCGCCGTTTTGACTGCTCGTTGCGGGGGTTGGAAGGGAGACCCTGGTGGGCTTGACGTTGCATGGGAGTTGGATCGGTAGGTCGGGGCTTGATCTGAGAATAGTCAAGTCGTTGATTGCGTCGTAGTCCATGATGATGAGGGACGAATGAAGTTGACGGGAGGGTTGGGTCTTTGAGATGGTTGGAAGGTAGGTTGGAAAGGTGGTGATGGAAGAAGAGGGTGAATAAGAAGAAGAAGAAGAAGAAGAAGAAGAAGAAGAAGAAGAAGAGATACGGGAGGAAAGAAGAAAGATAGAGAGAGAGAAGAGGGAGTTTGTATGTTTGTGCAAAGTGGCAGCTGGAGTGAATGGAGTGACTAAACGAAAATGGAAAAATGAGGTCAAAATTGTCAAGAAGTGTGAAATGTAGATTGATTCATTCATTTTGCAGGCTGAAAGTCTATTATGCAACAGAAAAGACGCTAGATTTGAAACAAGCATATAGATACTCCAACTCTCAAATAATAGATAGATATGCTTTTGGGACATCCTCATCTCCAGAACAGGCGAGAGGTAGAGCGGATCCAATGCAGCGAAGTATGCCAAAGCCACGCTGGAGAAACGAAACGAGGGTGTTTCCACAAAAGCACCGCGAGAGCTCCAGTTCCCACAGCAATCGCCGAACTCAATCCAAGACCAAGAACGTGACTCTGCTGCTGGACGGCAGCAATGACCTCCGAGTAACGCTGGTTACTAAAGCTGATACGAGCATACTGCGTCTTCCAGCCCAGGAACGGCAGGCGGCGGTCGATGGTTTCCTCGATGGACTTGCGGAGTTTGTATAGAGGGGATTTGACGCCCCATCGCATTTCGAGATAGTTTTGTTTGGAGAGGTCGTTAATTGCGTAGGTGTCGTCGCATCGTTGCTTGGTGTAAGCTTGAAAGGCTGCTTGGCGGCGCACGCTGCGGGTGTAGACGCTCAGATCCGCGTCATATACTCCGTGCTGATCGAGTTGTTCGAATAGAACGCGGACGTCTTCCAGTCCGGCGTTCAGTCCCTGGCCGTAGAAGGGGAGGACTGCGTGTGCTGCGTCGCCGATGATTGCCACGCCGGAGCTATAGTGGTGTGGATTGCACTTGATGCTGATCAGCGGAAGATGCGGGTTAATAGCGAACTGCTCAGTCAAAGCTTCGGGGTCGATCAGTTCAGGGCAGACGCCGGGGAAGTGCAGGTCGAAGAATTCGTGGAGCTGCTCGGTTCCGTTCTCTAGGGAAGCGTAATGCGACGAAGGTGCAAAGAGCGTGCAGGTGAACGATTTGTCCGCGGACGGCAAGGCGATGAACATGAACTCCTGGCCGGGCCAGATATGAAGATGATTTGGCGAGATGCGGAAATCTCCATCTTCGGAGGGAGGGATGCGGAATTCACACCAGAGGGTGTCGATATACTCCTGCTGATAGTCGACGCGGGCAAACTTCATCATATGGAAACGGGAGGCGGAATGCGCTCCATCGGCTCCGAGCAGGTAATCGAAGGATACCTCGATTTCGGGAACTCGGCCAGCCACGCCGAGATTATCGGGTTGGGGAGTATCGCCGGGGATGCGGCGTTCAAACCAGGCCTTGTTGGTGTTGAAATCGGCACCGGTCAGCTTATAGTTGAAGAATAACTTGACATTGGGGGTACGCTCCAACTCGTCGAGCAGGGCATTGTTGAGAGCGCTGCGATCTAGAGCGTTGATGGCCTGTGAGATCAGGTTAGCGACTGGCCAGGTGCAGGGGTGATCCTGAGGTCATGATGTGCATCATGCAGGGGAAATGCAGGGAAATGCAGGAGGATTGCATACACGACCGTGAACGTCATAGGCTTGAGCCGCTTCCCATAAGGCACCGCTGTCTCGGCCGTGGATCATGCGGCCATACATGGGAATGGTCTTGTGGAGCACTTCATCGATGAGACCGGGACGATTCGATCCCTGTATAGCTGTGATGCCACGCTCCGAGATGGCCAAGTTGATCGACTTGGTAAAGTTGAGTGGGATGGTGGTTGGATCGCGGAGATCTACGGACGGACATGATTATTGGCTTGCATTCAAGGCACTTGGTGAGATGAGTTCAAATGTTCAAAGTCAAAGGCAAGATCTCTGGCGATCTTGGAGGGGTAATTGCTGGTAGCAAAAGGACCTTGTTGGAGGGGAGAGGGTAGGTTGATGCAGAGGGTATATATGTTACGAGGGAAAGAGTCGAGTCCGAGTCACCCGGAGGAATTTGAGTGTGAGTGAGAGTGCACAATGCAACCACTCCAGTTTGCAAGTACTTTTACCCTCCGATTCCTCCGGAAATTATTCTCGTCTCACAAACACACAATCACACGATCCACGTACCTCCTCGAAGTTCATACACTTCCACCTCATCACCACGAGATGCCGCATACAGCGCGGCCAAAGACCCCACCGGGCCAGCGCCGACCACCACCACTTTTTGTCGGGGAGAAGCCATCGGGCAAATGCAGAAATGTGCACCCAAGAAGAAGATGACTGAACAATTCAACAAAAGTCAAACGCCGTCAGGGGCGGAGAAATTCAATTTGTCTGGGACCCTCGCCGGAATCACCCTGGTCACGTGGTGCGATGTCGGATTGCTGAATAATCACAGATGAGTCAGCCAGATGAGGCAATCGGGCACGTGATCAGACAAACAAAGCAGACATAGCAAACAGCACAAACAAGACAACCCGGTCAAACAGACCACCACCCACACTAGTCCCCCTTCGGTCTAGCCTCTCGCGCCCTCCGCCGCCTTTTTTCTCGCCGCAGTCCATTGCGATGTTTCGAGAAATTGAGAAATTGACGATCTCACCACTTTCCCCCCCTCCCACCACACCACCATGACTGCTCGGAAGTGCGCCGGCGTGGACTGCCCCAATGATGCGGGTACTCTTCAATGTCCTACCTGCCTGAAAATGGGCACCGATAGCTTCTTCTGCTCGCAAGATTGCTTCAAGCGGAGTTGGGTACGCTCAACCCCCACCAAGATTGATGATGGATCTATATCGAGATCCATGCTGAAGGGATTACCCCCCCACTAACCCTTTCCTTTCCATTTTCTAGAGCGAGCACAAGTCTATTCACAAGAAGAGTAATCTCCTTGCCAACCTTTTCCCTCCGAAAGTAGTTTCTGAACCTGATCCAGCAACCGGCCACTTCAATCCCTTCCCCGCCTTCCCCTTCGCCGGCTCGTTACGTCCTGTATACCCATTGTCCGCCACACGCACCATTCCCAAGGCCATCCCTCACCCCGACTATGCCCGCGATGGTATCCCGCGCTCCGAGCAGAAGCTTGTCGGCCGCCACACCATCAAGATCCTGAACAAGGAAGAGCAAGAGGGCATGCGCGTTGTGTGTCGCCTTGCGCGCGAAGTTTTGGATATCGCCGGCCGCGCATTGAAGCCTGGAGTGACCACCGATTATATTGACGAGGTGGTTCACAAGGCCTGTATTGAACGCGACGTATGACCACCGGCCGAGACCGTGACCGTAGCAGCTACCAGGATTGTCGCTAACACCCTTCTCCCTTTCTAGTCCTACCCTTCCCCCCTCAACTATATGCAATTCCCCAAGTCCGTCTGCACCTCGGTTAACGAGACCATCTGCCACGGTATCCCCGACCAACGGCCACTGGAGGACGGTGATATTGTCAACATTGATGTCACCCTTTACCACAAGGGCTTCCACGGCGATATCAACGAAACCTACTACGTTGGAGACAAGGCGCTCGCCAACCCCGAAGCAGTGCGAGTAGTGGAGACTTCGCGCGAGTGTCTGGAGAAGTCGATCGAGCTGGTCAAGCCCGGCATGCTCTTCCGTGATCCCGGAAATGTGATCGAAAAGCACGCCAAGTCACGCAACTGCAGTGTCGTCAAGACTTACTGTGGTCACGGCATCAACCAGCTCTTCCACTGCGCCCCCAACATTCCTCACTACGGCAAGAACAAGGCTGTCGGAACCGCGAAGCCTGGCATGTGCTTCACCATTGAACCTATGATCAATATCGGTACCCACCGTGACCGCACATGGCCTGATGACTGGACCAGTACCACTCAGGACGGATCGCTGTCCGCTCAATTCGAGCACACTATGCTGGTGACCGAGGACGGTGTTGAGGTTCTTACGGCCCGTTTCCCGGATTCACCGGGAGGTCCGGTCCCGATGCCTGTGACGGAGAACGGGAATTAAAATGTACTGCCATATATTGCATAGGAAGTTTAGATACCTTGGAGCAAATTTACGACTGTCCATGCCATGACTGGAGTGCTGGAACTGTAGATTATGAATGAAGATTGGGAGCAGGCCAATAAGTGATTGCAGCTTGGTCAGACATTTAAATCTCAACGGGCTTGCATGGTCTCAGAGCGGTATAATCCCTGCCATGTGCAAGCATAATGCCTGCTCATATGAATTGGGGCATTTTTAGTATCTCCAAACAGCCCCATCGCGTATGTGGGGCTGAGGTGGACGTGGGGTACGTCGTTGCATACAAAATTGGTAGAGCAGAGTGAAGAATAAAAGAGAGTAGTTATTTAATTTGAACATTGTTCCAGATAATTTTGACAGATAGAAAGCTCCATTGGGCTGGTTCTTTTCAATTGGTCATCTAAAATGGGTTGGTTGGTTGGTCACAACTATGCAAGGTCCCTGCTAACTACTACATGTACTATTAGTACTAGGAGATAACTACTCCTTTTTTAAAATCATACTATACGTAACTCTCGTTTCATCGTTCTTTATATCAATTGCTACTGAATTTAGCATTGCCAATTTCCGGACAATCTTCATCATGGTTTCAGGGTCACTGAGAGTCTATCTTCTATACTCTGAACATAGAATCAACGAATGTATTCTTTCGCGCTGTGATTCCCACCAAATAAGCAGAGTTCAGAATATACAGGGAAATAGTATACTCATGGAATATAGAGAGAATCATGTCTACAACAAAGTTGAGTATTGACTGGGGTTATATCCATCTTAACTGGTGCTATTCCATACTTCAAGCAAGCAAACATTCCTCCATGTTTGGAAGGATAGGACAAATCTCGTCCATTTACTGCCCTGGAGGTCGATTCCCTTTTTCGACTAAGCAACTCCTACCCCGCA